GTGGCTCGATTCGGACATCTCTGAGTTGTGGCGCAGAATCATGGCGGGGAAGAGCGTGTTCTTCTGTTTAGCATACAACTGATACTTCAAGCAAGGCAGGAGACGGCCGGCCTTGATGCTGGATTAAACAAAGGAACGTAGATTTCAGCTCATGCTGCATAGACTTACATTCAATATATATATATATATATATATATTTAAAAAAAAAAAAAAAACTCTTGTTTTGTACTAAACACACCTGTCAGTGATCCACTCTGGCCTGATGACCTTTTCCCCTCTGAGCTCCTGAATCTTGCAGTTGGGCAGGTTGCTGGCGATGATGTGGGTGGTCTTCGAGCGAGAGTAGTAGACGTGGAACTGACCCCCATGCAGCATCATCAGCCGGCGGAGCTCGTCTGCGCTCGGGTCTGATTGGAAAGACAAAGCAGTGACACGTTCATTCAATCGTTGATCGATGAGCGGAATGTGAGGAAGAGTACGCCGCCATGGCAGAGTGACCGTGTATCGCAAAGACGCTTCCTCATGCCTTTGGAAATAGACATTAACCCAATAAGGATGGCATTAAAACGTATGTCTGTCACACTCAGCCACCTGGCATGAATGGCAAGTTATGAAAATCGGGTATAGCAAAGTTTTCAACGTTTAAATTATACATGATATTTGAAAATTTGCAAGACTATTTATCTTTATCATCCATGGCATACTTGCGTGCAAGAAAAAAAATAAAGTGAAATGGACAGGCAATAATTTGTTTGCAGGTACAAATAAGTGTTGGTTTGAATAAGTGCTGATGCGAGGGACAACAAAGGGACATGAACTACAAACTACATAAGCAGAGTATTTGTTTGTACCCGTGTATCCATTGACATAAATAGAAACCCCACTGAAGATGCTGGAGCCGCTTCCTTCCTTCTGCTTTTCTCTGGTGGCATTGAGTTTGAACTGCTCGTCCAGCTTGGTAACCTTGGCCGCCATGTAGCCGCCCTGCACCAGCAAGAGAGTAAGGGACATTTAGAAACCCAAGAGAAATCAGAATACAAATATGTATGATTTACATGATACAACACTTTGTGACTGATCAGAGCTAAATGACTTGGGTGGAAAGGACATTATATGAAACTAAATAAGACTGAGCATACAGAAGATTTATATACACCGGATATTAATCATTTACCTGGACTAGCACATAAACACCACACCATATGTTGACTGACAGACCTTTTTAAACATGACAGGATAGTTGAGTTGGTAGCCATGTGTTTATTGAAGGTTTAATTTAGCTGTGCCATTTAGAGTAACCGGATACCCAGAACTGATGTAACGTCTGAGTAGTTCTGATAAATCTTCTGCAATATTATAGAGACCCTTTGTTCAGACTGCAATAGGTACATCCTTGAAGTTCTTAGGCTGTTAGAACAAATGCTATGAGGGGAACAGGAGATTAGGGTGGTCTACTTAAATAAGCTTGCTCAGAGTATACAGTAAATTGCAACCTCTTCAATGTTCCACTGGAGTTTTAAGTGACTTGCCAACAAAACGTATAGCGTAATTGTGAAGTCGAAGTCAAATTATAGATGGTTATGATTTTTTAGCGTGGTTCGGATGCCCTTAAATAAAATGCAGTGCAATAAGTTTCTTTTAGGAGTCAACTAAGTAGTTAAACCTTTAGACTTCTCTGCAACTTCAGCTTCATGCTGGTCTTGGCGATATTAAAAGGGGTGGCACACACATATTCCCCACTGTTTCCATGTGCTATTTCGCCATGTGTGTGTCTGGTTCTTTGTGAAGCTCTCACAGCTGGATGGACTCACCCTTTCTCCCCAACCATTGTCATCGCTGCCATTGGCTCTCTTTCTCATCCAGCCATCTCGACTCATACTGAGCTTCCTGCAGACACAAGGAAAGCCAAATCTCAGGACTGGGATACAAATAAAAATGAAAACATTGACTCACACTGCAAACCAAAACAACCCAAATAATCTGATGCTGGAACATGGGACATTCTGGAAATGACAACAATCCTGAACTGTTAGGGTTTGCAGGGTTTTTTAAAAACGTTTTTAAGGCATAATACAGACAGATTTGCTATATCTTTCATAACGCATGCACTGATATTATTACAGAGCAAATGTTATGACTCTGGCTGGCGCGAGCAGATCTGTTTGCACCCCAAAGGCAGGTCTGGACAGACTTTCTCCCTCTGACAGACGGGTCACAGCAGCAACATGCTGCTAACATTAGCCTAGCTCCGGGAATTAAACACGTTTCGGAGCAGCACGTCACTTCATCGCCCTGTCAGTTTAATAAGGACCGCTAACACAGCGACACAGGCGAAATTAGCTGGCCAACAGCGAACAGGGTGTGTGTGTGTGTCTGAGCAACTTCAGCGCAGCGGTAATCATGTGTGTAAACAAACCACGGTCCCGCCAGCAGAAGTCACCCCGTAGTTCTCTCTGTTGTACCTTTTAAGCTGTCAGGCGAGGCTGCTGGCCACAGTCTTCTCTCTGCAGGTACCGCTCAGCAGAAAGGGCTGCTCGATGCTGCTGCTGCTGCTGCTGTTTGAGTTAAACGGGGTTAGACAAGAGCAAAGCAAAGCGAAATGAAACCCCCTCAGACAGGCAGCTCACAGCCACGATCTCCACTTTGTTCCTCAGAAAAGTCCTGCTTTTGGTGAGGTGAGATCCCCCTATTGTGTCACGCGGCCACGCCATGGCTCCTGAATGTTTCTGGTCACCCTCCCAGTCCTTTCGCTCTCCATTTCAACCGCCTGATCCGTTTACCTCTTTTCTCTCCGCGAGCGTGGAACCAAACGATGCGGAACTTCCGGTGTTGTCATTCAAAATAAAAGTTTGTTGTTATTCAGTGGCGTGGCCCAAAAATTTTCTACACGTTTGATTCCAAAAGTAAATAGGTAAATAATATAATTTGAAAAGAGATATGTAAAAAGAAAATTGGGGGGGTGAAAATTTGTAACTAATCATACTATCTGATTAAAAAAAAAGAAATAAAATTAAATCAGACTTGAATGTAAAGTTATGTGTAAACTCTATTTTGAAGAATAATATTTAAAAAGTGTAAAAGCTAATAACAAAATAACAATAACAAAAAAATGTATCCATCTTGCACACAACTCAGCTACTTTATAATGACTCATTGTTTTTTCTTGTAGTGTTTCGGTTCATTTTAGCATTTAAATAAATACTACGCAAATGTAGAAAGATTTAGCACTGGTTTCAAGAAAGTCTCTTTAATTCCGTTTTAACCGAGAAGTCTTTTATTTTGAAATAAAACAAGATAGGCGCAACTTCCGACACTGTGACGTTCGTCGGGCAGCTTCACAAAACGCCATTCCACCGGCTTCTTGTTTTGCAGCTTCACTCGGTGTTATAGCGCCACTGCGCGGACAATCGAAGAAATGTCATTCTGAACGTACCACGGTGGTTTATTGTGTATCTGAACACTGATAACACACACAGTCTCGTTTCCGTGAAAGCAAATTGCCTGCTAAGGAGCTTGCTGCGTGTTTATATTGCGGAAGCTGCTTGCTCTCAGTCAGGATGTGTGGTTGTTTTTGTGCTGCCTGTTTGTTACCCTAGCATCAGTCTTGTCAGAGATTTTTATTTTTTTTGCTGGATATATATCGTTTGAGTTATATTCACTCCGGATACTATGTAATCCTGCCGTGGTGACAATAACCTTGTGTTTCCGCTGAGGAAAAAAATAAATAAATAAATGAGCTCAACCTCCTGAGACCTTGATTTGTTTTGGACACGTGGACTCCTGGCTGTCTCGGAGGGACTGACAACAGGAACTACGATGAAAATATAACCTGGTTTAAAACCAGCCCGTTAAACTACAGCGTCATCCTTTAGTTATCAGATCACATTCAGGATAAAGCTCAACGCTGAATTTATGTAAATTAGACCTCGCGTTCTAAAGAAAAGTCACGATGCTCTTTGATGCCATCCCAAAGACTCTTCTCATTGGATGATCTCTGTTGCTATGGCACCAGACATCTGATGCTGAGCGCTTCGGTTCCTGTGACATGTTGGTACATGTAGAGGTTTCTCATCCCAGCTCTGAGCAACTGGACTGAGTCACATGTCTGGTTGTGACACAGTCAGTGACTGCGTGCGCTTTTACACAGACTGTAGCAGGAAACCTGTTGACATCACATCCTTTGACTGACCTCAGCAGAACCCTTGTGAGGCCAAACATGCTTTGTTAGTCTTAAACATTTGTTTTGTGATTTAGCGATGCCTGCAGAAGTATTCACCTGCTGTAGATGTTGCATCATTTGAGTACTTTTGAAAATAACTGACAATCAATGTGACAAGGTATTTTAGATTTAATTTGAAATAAGAAACAAAAAAAACAACAACAAAAACTTTAACACACTAATATCAGTCAGAAAATTGGCACTGTAGCATGTGCGTATATCAAATATTTTCCTGAAAGGGTTGAATTTCAATGCAGCAATTGATTTCACCTTTTATATTTCAATTAACTGACATTCTTTTGTAAGACGATATTTTTACCTTGATATTGTTGTTTTTTTCTAACATTCTTGTCCACGAGCTAAATTATATTGACCGTGATGTTATTTGTACCAGCAATCAAAGAATCAAACATGCTTTTTTTGACAATGTATGCATGCTCCCCAAATTAATATTTTTTGAAAACTCCCCTAAGCAATATGTACCACCTTGATTAACTGTTTGTAATAATCAACAAACACCGACCAAGAATAGATCCAGTTGGTTAACTGACCACTTTTCATGGTAGATAAAAAACAAGACAATGATCCACAATGACAAGAAGACTGTTTGAAAGAATGTGTGCCTATTTGAGCCTGTATCACTAATTTTGACCATGTGGATAAAAAAAAAAAAAAAAACAGTTCAATACTCCAAAGTCTTTAATGCATTCAGGCAAATTAGAAGAAATCCAGACCAGGACTGTTAGACTAAATCTCTCATAAGATTCACAACAACAAAATATATTATCCATTCTCAGTTTATTTTTTTCTTACAAATAAGATGGTCCATCAAATATTGCACAGTAAAAAACAGAGTATAAGAAACTTTAAAGGAAACATTTCTTAAAGAATTTCCCCTCATTGAGAGTGATACATAATTGATCAGTGTTTTATTTTTTTATTTTTTATTTTTATTTTCTCTTGTGCATCCAGAGACAATCTTTGCTGACTTTGTTATTACAAAGTCTAAAACACAGATAAGTTTCACTGTCTTTTGAGGTTCAGGTTTCATTTGGCAAAAAAAAAAAGAAAAAAAAAGAGATCTTAATTAGCTGCAAAACAGAAAACTCTTCAGATTAATCCAACAACAAGGAAGAATGCTGCAAAACTGGTCCTTTATAAGGCTTTGCACACATAATGCTGGTGTTTACATCCCAACGTTCAACAAAAGCGGTTTGTGGCTTAGTGAGATTTCATTTAAGTCCATTTGGACACACCACATTGGTTATCAGTGCTTTCCTCACAGCTGTTTGGAGATCTGCAGAGTCTTTTTCTCACAGCAAAATTAAGCTTGAGGAGCAGCTTTAGGAGAAATCCTCTCTGTTGGAATCAGTTCAGTTTGGCACTAATGCGTATCCACTGAAGAGCCTGCCTGGTGTATTGAACAGCGTGCGCAACGCTACTGTGAAGAGTCAATGGCCCAGATAAAGTATTCAAGTAATTGAAGAATTCTGTAATGATAAAGACAAAATTAAATGTTTATAAATAATTAAGTATAATAATATATATATTCATAGTTCTGTCAGGGCATTTTATTTGGTATCCTCTGTGACGGAAAGTAACACATGATTGCTAAACAGAAACAGGGTGCATGATTTTAAAAGCCTTTTTAACAAATTAATACTTGAGAGTGTCATTCATGTTATTCAATATCTCTATTAGCTTTGCTCATAGAGACTGCAATTATGACTTTTGAGATGGATGTGGAGTATAAAACATGATATGCCCTGTATTTATCTATATAAATTGTTAGAACAATCTCGACCCTTTAACGTCGACATTCTTCTTCCACAAGGGCCAGATTTGTCTTATGTCTGACACCAAATGATTGTATTGCATTATTACTATTTAAGTCTATCAGAGTATAGGTGGGTGAAGAAAAATAAAAAGCTATGTATCTTTTTTTTCTGCCAATTCATAACTCTGCATTAATTTGTGATGGTTTATCACATGAAATTCTCCCACAGGAAATTGAAGTTAAAGGTTTCAATGTACCAAAATGGGAAAAAGTTAGAGGTATAAATTATTATATTCTTTTGTTGTATTTTTTTTTTTTGCAAAGCACCATTTGCAAAAAGCATGATAATATAATAAGTTACCTTTATTCTCCTTTGCGAGGTTGTCTGCCACCTCCCAGTACTCATAGCTGTACAGGACACTGTTGGTGATGTTCAGGTGGTTTGCTGCCATCTGGTGGATGCGCTGGGGTATGCTTATGAGCGATGCAGAGCTGCTGCCCCCATTTGAACCCCGTCTGTGGTGTTTTGCGGTGGGTGACAGTGAGGACGGGAGTCCTGCTGTAGCCCTGACAGTGAAAACACATGCGCAGCAGACCGATGCCAATCAGTATAATTTCAAAGACCAAAACAGAAGAAGCCAAGACGATTAAACATGGAAGCCTAGTTATTATCCACTCACTTCTCAGAGTCCATCCAGCCGGGTGGCGTTGTAGGCACTTTGGGAGAACTCTATAACAAGACCAAAACAAAATGCATGAAGCCACACGTATCAACATTTTACTGTTCTACCAAGCAGTGATATTTGTGTTATTAGATATACCTTGAAATAGTCAAGTAGCACTTTGGAGTACTTTAGTGCATGATCTTTTTTTAAGCGAAACATCTGCCAGTAAAGGAGGGCAAGGCATCTGAAACTGTAAATACAGACAGACCGCAAAGTCATTCTCAAAATGCTCATTCTTTATCGCAGTGACAGATGTGGCGTAAACAGAGAGGATGACAAACGCACCACAGCACTGCCAGCTGTTTGTCTTCCTGTCTCGCTCCAGGGCCAGAGTGACCTTTGAGCCTCATTGCGTACCTTAAAACATTCAGGGAACAGTCAAGTTTTTTACCTTGAAATCACATTTGTTTTGGCAACGTTCAGTAGATGTAATTTACCGGATCAGCTCCACTGTCTCAGAATACATGGTGAAAGGAGACTTTGCCTCGAGTGGCCCCTCCTCCATCGCCTTCCCACATTCCATGAAGGACAGAGCCGCATCAACATAGTTAACAGCTTTTCCGAGCTTGTCCACCTGAAAAAGGCAAGTAACAAAAGCAAATGAAGAAAACAACAATCAGCCATGTTCAAGAAGCATTTACTTGTCCTGTTCAGAACATAAATTGTGAAAGCATCTTTTAAAAACATTGCAAATTCAGTGTTATTTCTGTATTTGCATGTTTTGTTTAAAATAAGACATAGATTATCAGGATCTGACTTTAATGGATCTACACTTAAATAATCCAAAGGTAGAAGTTTTCCCAACAAAAAAGAAACAGACATTTCAAATAACAGTTCGAAATGCCACAATGATTGTTATGGTGATCCTTTTTGTTACTCTAATTTACAAGCATTGCTGCTTTGAATGCCTGATTGAAACAACCTTTAAACTCTTGCATACTTTTCTAGTAAAAAGTATAAATATATATATTTTAAGTATTTATTTAAAATTATTGCACAATATCGCAAACAAAATTTGATATTGCACCAAATTTGAAAAACTCACCATTGCATCAGCACGGTGCTTCATCCGTTTGGCTTCATGTAAGTAGTATTCAGCATGGTGAGAACTATAAGAAAATTGAGCATACATAATTAAAACCTGATGGTGTTGTGTCACCAGTAAGTTGAACTATCTCAGTTTTATATGTAAAGTGAAAGCAGTGTGGAGGCTGATTTGAAGGCTCACATTTCTTGGCTTGGTACGGACCCTCTGTGACCAGCTGGTCCCCAGGTGGACTCGGGTGGTGGCTGATGCTGCCTTGATACTTTTATACACTCCACCTCAGTCTTAGGCTGCACAGAAAATGGCTAAATAAGTCCTAATGTTGCAAGGACAAGAGTTGTCTAAACAAAAGCTTATGTGCCAAGATGTCACCTTTACGTCTGCCTCTCTGCTCTTGTCTTTGCTCTTTTGTGCGCGGGACTGCTGCTGTTCGGTAGTTGTCTTTGCTTTGGAGGCAGGCCTGGTGGGCTCAGGGCTCTGGGGCAGTGGAGACAAGGGAGACAAAGGAGACACTGGCCTCTTGCTGTCCAAGAACTCCTCCAGGTATCTTCAAGGAAACATATCCACAGATTCCTTTGAAACTCAAAATTATACACGGCAAAAAAAGCAGTAGAAAACTTATTCAAGGTGCAACTGGCAGATAAGTTTGATATTTGTATTTGTTCTGTGTACTTCTTCCTTTCCTAATATCACCTGGGGCAACTTCCCAGATGGCCATTTCCAAAAACCGTCACTGCCTTTGCTTTCCTTAAAACACAGTGTAGGGTGCTTTCCACATATTCAAATCCACCTGGGATGTTTAGAAAACTCAGTTTTACACTCATCTGACTAAGGAACCTGGTTCCACTTAAAGCAGAGTTCAATGGACTCCCCACATTAATGATTGTGATGGATGGAAATGACTCTCTACTGCCATGCCTCCAAAAGCCAGTTGGAATATAGATGGTTCCACAGCATGTAACGTAAACTAGAAATGCCTGGAAGTGCTTTTAATGGCGTAAGGTGTTATTACCCATTGTGCACTGTCTCAGTAATGACGTTCTCAGTCGGTACTGATGAAGGTTCTTTCTGCCCTGGTGCCTCGTTTAGATAAAGAAGACTCCTCTTGGCTTCTCTTTGAGCTATGCCATTCTCTGGCTGGTGACAAAACAACGAAGAACAAGAAGACATAAAATATTTCTGTCATATTAATGTGTAGAAAGTACTCTCGGTTTATTGTCTCAAGATAAAAGCAAAACATCTGTTTTCTACCTTGCGTTTCCTTTTGCCTTCTGTAATGGAAGTCTCGGGGTCATAAACGTGTTTCATAGCCTCTTTAGATTTTTCCTTCATCAATGAAGATGATTTGGACAGGGATAGTTTTTTACCAGTGGAATCTGTGGGACTGTCCGGGACTCTCTTGAGAAGACAGAGGTCTATCTGCACCACCAGATTCCTTAGCCCCCGTTGGGCGGTGGAAGGAGTTTTTTCCCCTCGTCCAAATGGGACTAGTGTGTAGAGCCTTTGCTTTGCCTCACTTTGTTGCCTCCTTTCACATGTATTCTCTGAGCTGGGTCGTCTGGGGTGTACTGTTTTAGGTCTGGTAGTGTCAGGTCTGCTTGCAGCTTGGTTCCCTGTCTTGGTGACTCTCCTGTGAGAAGAGGACTCAGCAGAAACCTTGGTTATAGAGCCAAGGCATTCAGATTCAGCGTCTGAGTTGGAGGGAGTTGTAGAAGATGATGACGATGAGGAGGAGCAGGAGTTGAAGGATGGTCTCTGGGGAGGTGGGGAGTGTGTGGATAATAGGGGTGATTGGTCTCTGATCACTTCTCTCTTCTCCTCACATCTTCTACCCTTTTTTGTCCTGCCTTGACAGTCTAAAGTCTCTCGAAGGCGGTGTTGTTTGTCATTAGAAGACACCTGTCTGACCGCTTTCCATTCTTCCTTTGCCTGCTCCCCCTTCCTCCTATTTTCTCCTCTTCCTGTGTTCTTTCTCCCACCTTGCTGTTCTGTTGCTCTTTCTTCCTCTTCCTCCTCTTCTTCTGGTGAACTTTGGATCCAGGGACGTCTTAGTAACTGCTCCTCCGCCAGCCTTCTGTCTTCCTTCCGTTCTAGCTTCCCTAGTTGTTGTTCATGATGATGTCTATCCTCCTTGTTTTCATGTATTCTCCTCTCTGCTTGGGTCAGATGAGGTTTTCTCTGAACTACTTCCTGTTCCTTAGACTGAGGTTTCCTTTGTGGAGTTTTGGCATGATTTGGATGCGTGGGGTTTGAGTTTGAAGCCTCCCACAGCTTTGTCCAGTGTATAAGGTTAGAGAAGGGTCCAGAGGTTGACCCAGTAACAGAATTCCTAGTAGCTTTACTGGCAGATGTGGAATGAGTACTGGGAGTTGTGTTGGTTTCACAGCCAGTGGGCACTACGTGCTTTGTTCTTTTGGGGCTTTGTGAAGGTTGTTGAAATGGTGGCCGTGGCTTGGGTTTGGATTGGTTGCCTTGAATTTGATCAAAATGTGTTGGATTTTTAGTTTTGGGGGTGTTGGAAAGCTGTTTAGTTCTTGGATATGAAGTAGGCTTGTGTGTAGATTTTTGATTGGGATTTATTTGGGAATTTGAGCCTGCAAAATCTTTTGACTTGCTTTGACTTTGATCTTGTGCTTGATGATTCTTAGGCTTGAGCTGATAAGAAGGTTGAAGATGAATGTTACTTGGGGGCTTACTCTTTAAACTGGTGCCAAGAAATGGTGCAATCCATGGTCTTACTTTAGTCCTGTGGGGGGTAGATGTTAGAATTGAATGTGACTGGTTCTGGTTCTGACCCCCATGGTAGTGTAAACCCCTTGATGGAGTGGGTAAGGTGGGACTAGGACTTCTTGGGAGATGTTTAGGTATCGGGCTTGGGCTTCGACTGGTCCTGGGGGTTCCACAAGGACTGGGGCAAACACTTAGAACTGGACTAGGAGGTGGGCTATGTCGTGGACTAGGTGTAGGACTTGGACAGGTGCTGGGGAATGGGCTGGGACTTGGGCAGTAGCTGTAACCAGGGCTGGGAACTGGGCTGTTATCGTTACTGTAACTGAACTGTGGACTTGGAATGGGAGTTTGGCTTGGGCTATACTCCTGGTTGCTGTCCCATGACCTGGCTGGTGAGGGGGCTCTCTGACTTAAGGGAGAGGCCTCGGGTTCTCCAATAGCCTGAGGCAAATCTTGGTCAGACCTGGCAGATTTTTTCTTTGATCTTTTCAGCCATTTATCTAACTGCCACTGGGTAGTGGAACGATGATCAATCTTAAGAAAACAAAAAAGAGAGAGACAAAAGGACACATGATTGTTTTATACAAATCTTTGACAACAATGAGGTTGGTGCACAAAGTAATGTTGGATCAAGGACCAACGGTCTTGGTTTGGACATTTCTTGCTAAAAGGAAACACATTCAAAACTCGGGCCAAATCCATACAAACCTAGATATTTTGCAAGATATAGATTTTCAACAACCTTTGCAGATCAAAGTTAAGATTTTGGTGACAAAAACTGATATTAAATTATATTTAAAACTAACAAAACAAACAAAAAAAAGAAAAAAAATATTTTCAAAGTGGATATTTAAAAAATATCCTTTGGTGGCGCTTTGCACTGGGTATCTGTACAACAACAAAGAGCCATATTTTACACATGGACCTTCTGACTTTGTCTGCTTGAAACCACAATAGCAGTGAACTTGTTTTTAGGGTTCCATCAGATTCACTTTGTGCTTCAAACATGAAAGGGAATCATAAGAGTAAAGGGTAATAATTGGCAAAACAATACAGTGCTGTTTTGGTGATATCGTTAGCCTAGCTGTGTTTAGCAAAGCTTGGAATCTTTAGAATTTTGATTTAGTTAATGTTGACTTTACTGCAATCTGCTGACAGAGCTGTTTTAATTTTAGAAATGGTTTTTTACACAGAATCAACTTTTTTGAGCTTCGTATTATGCCATAAGGTTATTCCCTCATCAAAAACAATTGCTTTGAACCATTTATGCATGTTTGAGAAATTTTTCAATCTACCATGGCAGTCCTTCAGGGGTTCCTACTGCCTATATGCATGCTCATACAATGTGCTGACTATTTACACAAAACTCCATCTTTCATCTAAAATTCCCAGTTGAGCTCCTGCCACACAAAGCATCCCTCTCCCACCCAGCTCCCTCAGACTAGCGGCAGCAGCAATCCACTGGGTGGAACTGCGTGTCTGATGAGCTTATCAAAACAAACTACTTGTCAGTCCAACGCTCCTAAGAACAGTTGTAAGCGGCATCACTGAGAAGCATTGTTGTGATGACGTCCCAAAGGGGGCGTGTCAGAAAGCTTAAGAGATTCTTAAAGACACAGAAGCCAATTTTAAGGCATCAGATATACCCATGATGTGAATAAAGTAAAATTTCTTTTAATTTATTTCATATAAAGCATTTTCACAACTAAATGCAAAATTTTTACTTGACTGGGGTATGAAATGGCATAAGGTGCCTGGAAAACCATTTAATCTAACATAAAATTAGATGTTAGAAATTGATTGATTTATTAACAGAATTGGAGGAAAAATATCCAAAGTACCAAAGCAGGGTCTTCAATGGCTTGTACAACCACATGTAGCAACATGTTCCTATATTTTCTTTTGATGTCTATTACATACACACTTAATAAATTTCGTTGACAAATTAACACATTCTATACGTGGAAAAAACAAAATATTTAAGGTAGTATCAAACTTCACACAGTCAGTACTTCAAATTACATCTTAGTGCCACAGATATGTAAATGTGCATTTAAATTCTTTGTTTTTTTTATGCCCTTCAGTGATATTTATTGCAATATACTGAAATAATATTTGTAAAAAACCAATGTGACTGTCACACAATTTTGAAAAACGTTGAAAAAAAATATCTCAAGAAAGAAAATGTAGCGAATAGCAATTTAATCTTTTCCGGAATTTAAAAAAAAATGTCTTGAACTATAATTTATAAATCCCAAATATAATGTTTGTTTAAAAAACATAAAACAGAAAATGTGCTTTTTATCAGTAGCCTGTATATTACATGCACTCACAGATGCAGTGCACTCACTCTGTGCTTACAGAATAACTGCACTCCTGTTTAGTCCTGTCAGTAAATTCCTTAATCTTACGTGTAAAACTGTTTTGAAAAGCATAAAACCTCGGAGGTAAACAAAAGTTTTTACTCTAATTAAAGACACCAAAGAGTACTCACAGCCTGAGAGCAAGCTTCTTTTTCTTTTACGCGTTCACTTTTTCGGTCTAACCAGAAGAGCTAAATTAAACCTCTACTCCTTAAGTCAAACAGTAACCCCCACACCCTCCACCTCCACCTCCTCCCCTCATACCTCGCTCTCTTTTCAGAGAAGACACTGCATCTCTTGTACCGTCTCGACTGCCCTCCCTCCCCTTTTTTTTTTCTTGCTACCTGAAACTCTGGGTTTGCTGCTTCCATAACTGCTGCCCCTATTTTTTTTTTTTCTGAAGGAGACACTCAAACACTCCATCTAAATGAAAACCACATGGTGCAACCCCCTCCACCCCACCTCACCCCAACAAACACCCTCCCTCACACTCTGTAGGGGCCCAGAGTAGCATGTTCAGTAATACAGTCTGCAATGTCACACAGGGCCCTCCATTCATAACAGAGAAGCAGGTTTGCCCCTTCACTGCATACATAGCACACATGTCAACCACCACAATGCCCTGCACCTCCAAACGCTCTGCACATAATCTCTTAGGTCCATAAAACATATCTGCAATACCATGCACTTTGTTTAACATGTCAGCATAAACTGGGTTCTTGATGACTTTCATCCCCTATGGCTTTCCTCCAAGACTCACCATTGACACGACAGTGAGGGGCTAATTTCCAAAGTTGCCCCTCAATCCCCCAGTTACAGGCATGCCTCATCGCTCACTCCCCACACCTGCTGTGGACCGCTTCGAGCCCTCCCTCCACCCCTCACCTCACCTCATCCATGGAGACTTCATTTTGAGGCACAGAAACTCAAGAGGAGATCTACATGAACTATTAAATAAATGAGCTGAATCAAACTGGGTGGGAGCTGTATTTCTTACCTCCTTGTTGTTGCACAGTGGCCGCGCGCTTGGAGGCGACGGAGGAGCCGGGTGAAGTTCTGGACTCGGGCTGCGGGAACGGAGGCTGCTGCTGCCCGACTCTGCAGAGGAGTCTGAGTCCGAGGAGCCTGAGCTGGAATGTCTCACCCTCCTGCCATGTGTGTGCGCTCGCTGCGCCGACAGGCTGTCAGTCAAACCGGGTACAAACATCAGAGACGGCTCAACGGAGGCACCGAGCCAAGTGGAGCGATGTTACACATGCAGTAAAACTGATTCTTAAAACCAAAATACCAATAGAGATCATTGAAAGAGAAATCAGTGGGAGTACCTGTGTCTGTCCCAGGAAGCTGACTCATGAATGGCCTTTGGGACACAAAAACAGAAATTGATCATCCACTGCAGCAGCATAAAAACCCCCACAAAAAAACAACCTAGCAGAAGAATGGCAACTATCAGGGTTAAAAACATTTATTTGAAGACTGAAAAGGCGGAGATTGACCTACCCGCTGAGTGTCATCTTCATCACTACTTATCTTCAGGTCATCAGCAAGCATTCTGCGAATGTACATTCAGATACCTGAGCTGTTTGGCTTTTAAAGCTGCATAAAATACTGCAGTGAACTCATGTAAGAAAATGTTTCTAATGAAAAAAATAAGAAAACATGTAATAAAAGCCAAAGGGACATAAACTGGGATGATTTTACTTATATGAAACAGCCTAACTGATGTTGCCCTTATTGTCACTCCTGATATAGACGGTACATCTTTGCATGATCTCAGGATCAGATCCTGCACGTTCTCTTATGTTTTCTTATCAGCCATGAGGTGAAAAATCTGAGGTCTAATATAAGAAGGAAAGAATGTGGATCTTGCGACGAACCTTTTCTGTGTTTATTTGGCCATATTCTTTGCATCATTATCCTGCTGAAATACCAACGGATGACTCATTCATAGTTTTCTGGCAGAAATCATCACTTTTCTTAACAAATTCCCTGTTAATTTAAAGAGTCCCTGGTGCCATAATAATAATGTTTCCATTATTAAATGGATTCATTATTCTGCCTTTGGAAGACAAACAGATTCACAGCATCACAGATTATCCCAAAATGGGGGGTGAGCGGCTTCTTCATACGGTGGTCATGTGTTTCATGCCACCAAAGTCACTTTGTTGGTCTCTTCTGAAATCAAACATTTCCATTATTATTTAGACTGGTTGAGAAGAAGAAATCCCAGAAACAAAGTTCATGGGTTGTAATATAGTAAAATGAATTTACAATCATTTTAATGAATGTAAAATACAATGACTTTATGACTGATATTTCATAAATATTGGCAGGTTTAAATAAGGAAGAAAGAAAAGAAGATCACGATCAATAAAATAAATCTATTTTGTACATGTATAAAATATAAAAATTTATATATTGTACAAATTTTTTTTTTCTCAAAGTAATCCCTAAATACAAACAGCTAAATATAAGCTCCATACTTTTTCAAAGTGCATAGAAAATAACGCTCAAGAAGAAATTTTTAAATTTCAATTACAAACAATAGATTTGTCATTGATTTTTATATGGCATAACAAATAGATTTCCCCTTTGGGAATGGCATGACAATAAATGTGGAAGTTGCTATTTATAATTCATTAAAGACTAAGAGCAGACAGAGCAGAGCATCTCGTAATGATCTCTTGTACATAAATAAGGCTTAAATAAGCAAATAATGTCAAAATCTGGCAGCTTGGGGGGGAATCAGTTTCATAACAAAGCTTGTAAAATAATGTGAGGCATGCAGTTGGCTCCCACCCCTTGAACATGTGTTTCAGATTAAAAGCAGGATGTAAAAAGTTAACAAACAGGAGCACATCGGTCTTCACTGACAACTTTGAGGAATGTAAAGTGACCCTTGACCCAAACTGCAGCCTGAAACACGGTTTGCCTGCTTAACGTAATGTATCCGATTTCACATGTGTTCTTCCCTCTTGATCAATTTGCCTGGTAGCTGTTTGAATGATAAAGATCGTAAATTCATTTTAAAGAGGTTACACAGACAAACAAATCAAATGAGAGGCCATTCCTGCATGTGCCACAGTAGCGGTTTACGGGACGTGACCCGAGCCGGATCACGTTTCTTCAAGCCCGACTTACGATTTGTGAGGTGCCACGTAAGGATGACGAGCCATTCGCTGTTGAGTGTCCCCACGGCCTGACAACAAAGAGAGAAAGCATTAACAGAGAATCACACAAAGACGCAAATTTGTCAGTTGGTAAGTTCATACTTTGCCTTTGTTGGGAGGCCGGATGCCTTGCATCCTGGGGAAAAAAAGACAGGAAAAATAAAAATATAATATTCGTCTCAAAAACAACCCAACCCTTTATTAGTAGAATAGAACCTCTGCTTATCTGCAGATATACTCTGAGAACGTCCCAGAACACCCTCGAGGTGCGGGCTTGTGGGATTTAAATTTTGTTTTCAAACTGGAAGACTTGCTCATTTGTTAACACAGAGTTACTAAATATGGAGGACTCGAGTAAATTGTTTATTTCACATCTGTAGTTAGTTGGCCACTTCCCTACACTCCAAACGTGCATCCTGTTTGGTACCTCGAAGAGTCAAACGGCTTTCTATTCTGTAAAGCTGAAGTCAGAGGCAGGGCCGGCCCAAGCCTCCATGGGGCCCTAAGCGGAATTTGGTTTTGGGGCCCTCTAGTTCTGCTAACAATGTGGACTGGCTGCAATCAGCAATCCGATCATTAGATCATTCACACACCTGCTTATTGCATCTCTGGCAGTGCTGTTTACATTATATACATGTATAATATAAGATACATTTATTGGCCAACTGAGTTATCAACCAGTTGATTTCTGGGCGCCGATTTCCTTCATTTTGGGGGACCGTGATTGGCTGATACTTACATGTGAAGCCCATCTTATCCCCTAATCTTATCTTCGTCAGCAAAGGTTTAAAAATCAGCCTCGGTCCTCTTCTGCTCTGCAGTGAGAAGTTTGACTGACAGACCTGCCCACCGGGTCAGGTCTGAACGTTTACAGTCAACAATATTCACCCCACTGTTGCCAACTCACTGACTTTTGTATTTAGTGACGTTTCAGACAAAATATTCGTATCAGCCAAAATCAAAATTGGCAGGTCAGGCTTTTTAAGACCGGTAACCAGGGATCGGCCAGAAAATTGCAATCGGTGCAGCCGACATTTCTTTATTAAATGAATTTCTCTTTAGCGTAACTCCAATAGCTAAAAATGTAATTTATACCAGGTGAGTCTTTCTCCCCTGGAACGTGGACCAATATCGGTACTGGACTGAATCTGAGCCTTCAAATGATTTTAACAGAAGTTTCACATAACTTAGAAGTTGATGTAAAAAATAATGTTTGTTTAGCCACAAAATGATTATGCTCAGTAGCAAACAACCTTCTTTTTATCAATAAAATAATAATTTCAACATACATTATCAAATATATATTATTATAAAAACAAATCATTTCATAGTGAAATTAATGACACATAAATTATTACTAAAAAAATGAAACCATCCATGTTATCAGAAATAGTAGACCTGAGTTAAACTGGTTAGTTTCTTGAGCATTGCCCAGAAGTTTGATGTTAGTCTGTTTCTTTCAAAAAACAGTTTAAATGTTTGCTTGAGATCATTGTTTCTATTAGTCCAACCATCTGACAGAAAGTGTCACCCCTAAAAGGAGGAAATTGGTCGGTGTTCAAATAAATCCCATGAACCAGCCAGACTGAAGCCTTTCATAAACAGGAAGCCGATAAAGACCCAAACAGATCCAAGACGTAATAATATAACCAAGTTTCCTCTAAACTCATTATAACAATGATCTTAAAATAACCCGTCTAAAAATATATATTTGAACAAACCAAACCTCATACAGCCACACGTAAAACCCTTTTAATTAGACAAACAGAGAAACACACACACACACACCTTAGGGTTGTAGAGGATTCGCTGGGTCTGGTCCCCCCCCAAGGCTTGCTGGGAAGGCCAGGACTGAGTCATGTCCTGCTCACAAAAATAGGAGTGAGGTTAAAGGTGACTGGGGAATCATAACAAAGGAAAGCACACTGAACTTAGGGACAACTTTCTTCTCCCTTCCACATGCACAGCAGCAGAGATTGACATCTGACTCTCATTCATGTCCCTGCTCCTCCCCTGATGATTCTTGATGGAGACAAGTGTTCACTTTAGGGTTGAGTTCAGGTTGAAAGATGTGAATTACATGCTTGGAGTGGTGACAATGCAAAAAAAAAAAAAAGAAAAGAAAAGAAAAAGGAAACCCCTCATGCTGCGAGCACCTGTTCATGTAGCTCGGGTTCTGGAAATATAAACTAATCACAAACCAATGGGTTAAAGATGTTTCTTATCAGCATGAAAGAAGGAAAAATCTGCCTATATTTATCAAGGAGAATGAAGGTATTGCAGGACAATAGCATGAACACTTTTAAAAGTGTTCACTCCCAAACCTGTGAGCCGCCATGCAAAAATCATGCAAAACATTTCAGTTAGAAATTATCAGCTTCCAGCGCAACATTTAGAGATTCAAGACTCTTCCAAGCCGCTTACAGCTGCAGACAGTTTGAAAAAAATAAAGGAAGAAGATTCACGCTGCAGATTTGAACTATTTTGGAGAGTGAGAGGGAGAAGTCGCTCTAAAAATCATCCCCCCTGCAGCGGTGCATTGAGACAGGAAACACAGCTGGTATCTGTGCACAGTATTTTTTGTGAAGAGGTGTATCAACCGTTATAACCACATAAAAGTGGTTTATTTTGTGACAGAGCTCAGTCACAAAACAAGGAAAACAATGCTTATTGGTTGAGGCATTTTGAATGCAAACCTATGGCTTCAATCAGAAGAATTACTTGTATTTAATCGCAGCACACACACACACACACACACACACACACGCGTAAATACATTTATATAGCTATATAAATATATATAGTGGAATTTGCTACCACACAAAACATCAGCGACAATTTTTGTGCTACTCAGTTTATAAAAATTAGATTTTAAACCTTTTAGTTATTTTTCTTTGGATTTTTGAGTCTTTTGTTTTGGTTTGTTTTATTGGGGAATGTTTCGTTCTGCTTTCCATGTTCAGTTCATTCATTAGTTTTAAGATTCCTTCTGCTTTTGTTTCTGCACTTTATAAGCAGTTTTTTGTGTTCTCGTGATGTACAGCGCCTTGAACTGCCTTGTTGCTGAAATGTGCTACACAAATAAACGAATAAACTTGATCGATCAATTGACTGATTGATTGATTTTCTGCTCCACACTGCAGCTTCTACAATTATTCTCCTGTTTTATTTTGAAAACCTCTGTTGCTTCTGTCTCTTTATCACCTTTTCGGTCAAGATCTCAATTATTTCTTATGATGGTTGGTTTGTTCACTTCTCTAACCCTTGTTTACCAAGTTTAAAGTATACCAGATCTGTCAGTCAGTTTCTCCTAGTTCTTCAGTTCAAATTCAGTTCCTTGCTGTATCTTACAGCAAGAAACTGTGAGGGAGATGTTGCTATATTAATCAATGACTTGTTCCTAGATCAGCAATCACCTCTCCGGCCTAAATCTGTCCTCAGGTAGTATGCCTTTGTCAGAGCCTCACATTGTGATGCCAGCCTGTACTCTTGTGGTTCTACTGCTTTTTTTTATATGTGCTTTTTTGTGACTCAGGGTTTTAAACTTTCACCATTTAATTTGTAAAGAAGTGTACTTTCACCTGCTTTACTCCTCTTTGCATTTGGGTTTCTCACTTCACCATTACAGTATATTGCATGTTTTCCTATGAAACAATCTGCTCAATTCAATTAGAAGGGCATACAAATGGGCTCAGTTTGGGGATTTTTCCCAAGCAATCAAAACATTTCTTCAACTCCAAGGGGAGTTTGAAGTGAGGGCATTTGAGGCCTGAAATATCCTCAGTATTTGGTGAACCTGGCCAATTTCTCAGTCTCCTCTCCCCCTCTCCACTCATAACAATGCACCCTGAGGGGGAGTGTTTCCTCTCTGTGCTCATCCTTTTCACTTCATTATCTCCCCTTCCTCAGTCACCAAGGACACGGCGCCAACCCTCATCTCTTTCTTCCTCCAACAACAACAAGGTATCCCAGGTGGAACATCATGTGTTGCCATCTTCCTGCTCTTTCCCACCCCATTCCCCCCATCTACAGTGGTGTATTTGCCATTTATTCTTTTAAGTTCATTCAAGCAGAGGGAAATAGAAACGTCAATAAACCAAACTATCATAAAATTCAGAAATTTTATGACGTTTGTGACATTAAAAACGAATGCAAGTGAGGGAACTCGCAAAGCGCAAATCAAGGGGAAGACTGCTGGCTTGAAAGTTGTCCTTCAGGCAGTTACTGAAACCTGCCACAACGATACATATCAATGGAGAGTTGGGGAAGATTCAGAAATCACGGACTGAAGCTGGAGTCAGAGTTTTACAAGCCACAACAGAAAGACGTACCCAAGACATGGGCTACAAATGTCGCACTCGTGGAGTTAAGCCACTCTTGAGCTAAAAACCAGGGATGCAGTCTGCCTGGGCCATGAGGAGAAAGAACAGGACTGTTGCGTAGTGGGTAGTGGTGTCATTTTTTTAAGTGAAAATAAATCTAGCATATAATTTATGACTCCAGTTTCAGGAGCGGAGAATCAATTGGACGTACTGTAAACTGAGAACATTTTGAATGATATTCTACTTTATTATGATGTACCTCTATTTGTGTAAAGAAACCTAAGGCAGTTTTAATATAAGTTTAAAAGAAATAAATGAGACTCATTCAAATTGATCCTCTACAGAGAATAGTCACTTTTTATTTTATTGAACTAAATTTTGACTTAAAATTAATTTATTGTTTGTCACTATGCGGATGTACAATAAGATTAAAGATCACAACATCTGTAAAATGAATGAGTAGAAACTTTACCTTCTCAGATCTCAGCTAAAGGAAAATTCAGGAGATTAACTGATGCATAAAATCATGCTAAGTTGCTGCTTGGGTTTCCTCCTCTAAGCAACTGGATCGTCCGTTGAGTCAATTTTCAAATGACTGAACGTTTGTGACATTAAAAACGAATGCAAGAGAGGGAACTCGCAAAGCGCAAAATAAACTTCAAATAAGACCTGATTCATTTAGAGACAAAACTGCTGTCATGATACAACAAATTGTTCGTATTCTACATGATTTATTTGCTCCTTACCTCGAGAATGTCTTTGGCACAGCACCTGTGTTGGCTTCTTTTCCCCTGCACAAACCAAAGAATGGAGAACTTTTTTTTAAAGGAGCAGTTTACCTTAAAAAAAAATTAAAGACAGACACTGACAATGACAGGTAGCCTTGTGAACCACAGAGTAACTTTAGATGCAAATTTCAAATGCAGAACACAGTAACGCATGACATGCTGATCAACAAACAGAGAGTATATCAGACACAGAAGTTAGAGAAGCTGATCAGTTATTATCAATCGTTGCTCACCATCTGATCTTGAAAAAGCTGTCACTCAGACAGTCATAAGAACCCTTTACCTTCGCGCCTTTTTTATCTACGGCATTCAAAACCCACTGTAACACTTTACTGTAACTCTAACAGCTTCACGCACACACACACACCCATGCGCGCGCACACACACAGTAACTCTGAGCCTCTCTGTACCTCCTCGATGACTCATATCTTAGTAATCACAGCTGCAGGATGATCAGCCGGATACCGACACTGAGCGAAGCTACTTTCGGTTTCAACATCCAACATCACATGGTAAAATCCCTTTCTGAGCAACTGAACTCACAGGTGAGGGTCAGAGAAAAACGCAGGAACCATGCAGCACAAACACGTTGCTGTAATCACTGCCAATCTGTGTTACTACCGCAGGTTTATGCTACTCAACAAATAATGCTTTCCCTTTTATTTTTGTAGAAAATTTTTGAGTCTTCATAAAGTTCTTTGGAGTCTTTGAACTAGAAAAAGCCTGATACAAATAGTTATTTAATATTTAACGTCTACTGTCAGACATGCAGCAGGTAGCTTGACTGCTCAATGTTTTTGACTAGAATATATTATTCACAACTATTGAACATTTTCATGTTCTATCACATTTCTGTTTTTATTTATTTAAATTCTGTGCGACTAACACAAAGTGGAATGTTGCATTCATCTGTAGCCATTCTCATTTACTTTGGCCAGTGCAGCCATTTGCTTTCAGAAGTGACCTAGTTAGTAAATGGTGTCCACCTGTTTGTGGTTTAATGTCAGCATAAATCAGGCTGTTTAGTGAAGACAGTGAAGGCTTGTTAGAGAAGATTAGTGGACAAACAGCACCGTCAGGACCACAAAAACACATAAATCCACATCTCAAACGTGAGAATGTGTCACTTTTCCAACAATTAGTTGCGTGCTCCGTAAATCTGGGCTTTATGAATGAGCCCCACAAAGTAAACCAGTCGTCATTAGCAGAAAACGTGCGGAAAAAAGTGCTACGAATGATAAAAATGTAGCCTTATGGCTTATGTAAAAATTCTGCGTGGAGAAAAAAAAATACTACTACAAAAACACAACCTCATTGGTGAAACATGGCGGTGGTCACGTCATGCTGTGGGAATGCCTTTCTTGGTGTTCCTGTAAAGCACCAACACCCGGAGACTGAAAACAAACGGTGCCGTGGTTTCAACATTTTAATTTGTAAAGAATGGAAAGTGAAATATAATTTTCCCTGGACTCAGTTCTGCACGATGTTCCTCTCTCATCTTAACTTACAATAAAATACACTGTGGTTAAGCTTTAAGAGTTATGGAAGCTTGTGCAATTTACTTTATGTATGTTATCTAACTATCCAAATTTTTGAGCATTTTTTGGGGGCCCTACGCACTAATTATAACACATAATTACAGACAGTCCGGATTTCAGCTTCCTGTGGTTCTGCACATTAAATAAAATGTTGTCCCTCTTCACATTTCTTTCGGTTTTAGCCTCATTAACACACGAAACATTCACTGCCACAAGTGCTGCAGGCTACAACTCTGGTGCAATACCCAAGTGCGTTCACCTCCATACCCCCAGGACCCAAACAAACCACAACCCATCATAACACCTGCAACAACACAGACAGCACCAACTGTTGCATTCTTAAAGTATTTCCAATTACTAAAGTTATGCTTATTAACTGCAGCGTCACAATCTCAGATTTAAAACAACACATCTGTTAAAGCAGAAAACGCTCAACCTTATAAACTAATCGCGTATAACAGGTGAAAAAAGTTTAATAAGTCATCTTTCCTGCATCCCTTCACTCAATTTAAACGTACTCAAATTTCAAGGATGCGGATGAAGCTGGTTCCGCCCATCCAAGGTCCAACCACTGAAGAAGCATAGCCCACATTTAAGAAGTTCACGCAGAGCGCATTTAATGTGACTTGTCTCTAAAGCTTCATTCCGGGCTCTCACCTGAGAATATGCGTATCGGAGCAAAAGGCAGACAATGGAAAGTTTCCCTTTGCCACCGAGGACAGTAGGCATGGTTCCTGGATGTTCAGTGTCCTCCTCCGGTGTCCATATCAGTGAGGACGCGCGTCAGTGACCTGACTTCGCACGCCGGGTTCCTCTCTCTCTCTCTTTCTCTCTCTCTCTCTCCCTCCGTGTCCGTGGGCGCTCCTTCCTTCCCCTCCATGTGACGGACGGACACATACGGGGGATGTGGGCGGGTCGGGAACGTCACGGATGACGGGGCATTACGCGAGGGGATCACGACTCGCTGGCTGGAGTCATCGCGGGAGCTTAATTGTCAGTGAACGGCGAGGGCATCACGGCAGGCATACTGATGATAGATACAAAGATGATTTATTGGACGCACAGTTTTATCCCTGAGGTCTAGTGAGATGATGTCTTTTAGGGTTATGAGGGAACGGAAAGCTGTAAAAAAAAAAAAGTGGAGATTTACTGATCAGCCTTTTGTCAATGACAAAATATGTATATAGAAAACTGTCTATTATGTTTCTGTCCTGACACTGACACACATTAATATGTGTGTCATTTTAAAGCAAGGTATCAAGGTATGTTTTTGCAGTGTCCTGCAAAAACAAGCCTTTTTCCCATTTTGTCTCAACACATTAGGATTTTTTATGAGATAAACCAACATGAAGCAGCAAACTTGTTTCGTGCTGAGTGAGATGTTCAGAGCTTTGGATGATTGATTTGAACTTCATCCAAAACTTTCTCCCCCAGCCTGCCTGCTGCGTTCCTTTCGTCTCCATGATTCTCTAATAAACTCTCAAATCCCTTAAAGCTGAATTTATACTGAGATTAAACTGCCCACATGCAGGCTTCTTCAAAAAAGATGTTTGCATTGAATTTTACTTAAGGATGTCAGGCTAAAGAGGTCTAAACAGACCTCTTTAAGTGTGTCTTGCACACTTAAACAAACAAACAAACAAAAAAAAACACACTTTCACATTAAAACTTTGTTTTAATTATATGTTTTGTTTTTATAAGCCAACTCAGTTTCACCTCTCAGTGCAACAATTGTTCTTTTAATCATCTATTAAGGAGTGCCTATGCTGTCACAAATGTTTTTTTTAAAAAATTGTTCAAGACTTAAGACGTGGTTTATCTTATCAGAAAATGCAGATGCGATCATCTCTCTTCCAGACGTCTTGTCATTGCTTCATGTCTGGCCCATCAGTTACTCTGCTAAATGCAGTCAGGCCTGTGAAGCGGCTCGGAGCTGTGCAGGCTTTAATTTGTCATCTTAAAATGCGAGCTGTCTCCTTGAGTCAGACGTGATGCAAGAGAGAGAGAGCGGGAGAGAGAAGCAAAGTCTCATGGTAACTGATGCATTAGAGCTTTGATTTACGAATATTGGCTGACACCTTAATATTTCTTACTGATTAAACCTTGAATTTGGTTATGGCTGCAGCTAACAGAGAGTTCAGTCAGAGCCAACATCCTCCTCCACACAGTAGCACCCCTGGTTACAGACCCATGGTGACAGAACCTCACAGGCCCGGCAGCATCCCTCGACACCGCCTGCTTCAAACCTATAGCCTGGGGAGTCGTCGCTCCTACCAACACTCGAGTTTCTTTTTCTTTTTTCGTACCCATACGCTGAAATGTTAAACAGGGAAGAGAGCTCCATTGTGTCTGAGTTACGTTTGAACTGTGTAACTCAGGAATGCAGATTTTGGCCTAAATAGACAACAATGGTCCATTTTCTAGCAGAGCATCTGTTATAAGGAGCTTATACCCCTAAAATTAGCACAATAGTTTAAATCTATACGCTGATTACCAGACACCTATTGCTATAAAAATGTGGCCAACTGTATGCATCTCACAAGATGATAAATGCTGATGTAGTTTCGCCTGAGCCACAAGTAGTAATGACTCTCTGCAGGCGCCTGGCTGCCCTCATGTCTGCAGAGTGGCTCGGATGAGTTTGTCAACCTGTCAGCAGTCAGTGGACACAAGAGGCACAACGAGTGCGCCATCTAGTGGCCAATGTGAGAAGAAGCACTTCTCGCTGCACAGGCAAGAAACAGATCTTAGGAGGGCAGATGAATCGCTTTCTGACACACAAATCACACAATTGTGAAATAAACTGCAGTGGGTTTTTGTTGTTGTTGTTTTGTTTTTTCTTGAGCTATTGTCCTATTCCAGGAGATTTAATCTGTTCCCATAAAAAATACACAATCAAATTTTATTTCTATAGCAACAAGGCATTTCAAAGAGCTTTACATCATAAAGACTCAAAATCACAAAGTCATAGAACACAAAGTTGACAGCATTACATTTGGCCATCATTGCACATCAGATTGGTGATTAATGTTTCATGATTATGTTTCAAAAGCATCTCTAAACAGCTGGGTTTTCAGTCTGGATTTAAAGAAACTCAGGGTTTCGGCTGTTTTGCAGTTTTCTGAAAGTTTGTTCAACATTTGTGGTGCATAGAAAATGCTGCTACTCCGTGTTTGGTTCTGGTTGTGGGGATGCAGAGCGGAACCAGAAGCAGAAGCCCTGAGAGTTCTGGAAGGTGGCTACAACAACAGCAGATCTTTTATGTATTGTGGTACTAAGCCATTCGATGACTGACATGGACCGATTAGACAACACCTGTGGCAAAGTTCAACCTGGGGCACATAAGATTTTTTTTCCGGAAATAACTGTTTTTAGGAATCTGATGTAGTGTTAAGTTACCTAACTGTATTGCTACTTTAACTGAAGGGATTATTTAAATCCACTAGGGGGCGTCCTGAACTG